GCGATTTTAATTGGCGTATCATTAACGCTCATCCAACTCAATGCAGCCAAGAGAACGGGTGATACTTCATGGGGCGGGCGATACTTCATGGGGCGGGCGATACAACATGTCCTTGGCTGCGTCTGTGGACTGTACAGTGGGGATCGAAAGTTTGGGCACCCCAGCTAAAAATTTGTATTAATGTGCATAAAGAAGCCAAGGAAAGATGGAAAAATCTCCAAAAGGCATCAAATTACAGATTAGACATTCTTCTAATATGTCAACAAAAGTTAGATTTTATTTCCATCATTTACACTTTCAAAATAACAGAAAACAAAAAAATGGCGTCTGCAAAAGTTTGGGCCCCCTGCAGAATTTATAGCCTGCACTGCCCCCTTTGCCAAGCTGAGACCTGCCAGTGTCATGGATTGTTCTCAATCATCGTCTGGGAAGACCAGATGATGTCAATCTCAAAGGTTTTAAATGCCCCGACTCATCTGACCTTGCCCAACAATCAGCACCATGGGTTCTTCTAAGCAGTTGTCTAGAAAACTGAAACTGAAAATAGTTGACGCTCACAAAGCTGGAGAAGGCTATAAGAAGATAGCAAAGCGTTTTCAGATGTCAATATCCTCTGTTCGGAATGTCATTAAGAAATGGCAGTCATCAGGAACAGTGGAAGTTAAAGCAAGATCTGGAAGACCAAGAAAAATATCAGATAGAACAGCTCGCAGGATTGTGAGAAAAACAATTCAAAACCCACGTTTGACTGCACAATCCCTCCAGAAAGATCTGGCAGACACTGGAGTTGTGGTCACTATTCCACTATAAAGAGATACTTGTACAAATATGGTCTTCATGGAAGAGTCATCAGAAGAAAACCTCTTCTACGTCCTCACCACAAAAATCATCGTTTGAACTTTGCAAATGAACATATAGACAAGCCTGATGCATTTTGGAAACAAGTTCTGTGGGACCGATGAGGTTAAAATGGAACTTTTTGGCCGGAATGAGCAAAGGTACGTTTGGAGAAGAAGGGGCACAGAATTGAATGAAAAGAACCTCTGTCCAACTGTGAAGCATGGGGTTGGATCAATCATGCTTTGGGGTTGTGTTGCAGCCAGTGGCACAGGGAACATCTCACGAGTAGAAGGAAAAATGGATTCAATAAAATGTCAGCAAATTTTGGATGGTAACTTGTTGCCATCTGTGAAAAAGCTGAAGTTAAAGAGAGGATGGCTTCTACAAATGGATAATGATCCTAAACACACCTCGAAATCCACGAGGGATTACATCAAGAGGCGTAAACTGAAGGTTTTGCCATGGCCTTCACAATCTCCTGACCTCAACATCATTGAAAATCTATAGATAGACCTTAAAAGAGCCGTGCGTGACAGACAGCCCAGAAATCTCAAAGAACTGGAAGACTTTTGTAAGGAAGAATGGGCAAAGATACCTCAAACAAGAATTGAAAGACTCTTGGCTGGCTACAAAAAGCGTTTACAAGCTGTGATACTTGCCAAAGGGGGCAGTACAAGATATTAACTCTGCAGGGGGCCCAAACTTTTGCAGACGCCATTTTTTTTGTTTTCTGTTATTTTGAAAGTGTAAATGATGGAAATAAAATCTAACTTTTGTTGACATATTATAAGAATGTCTAATCTGTAATTTGATGCCTTTTGTTGATTTTTCCATCTTTCCTTGGCTTCTTTATGCACATTAATACACATTTTTAGCTGGGGGGCCCAAACTTTCGATCCCCACTGTATATTCTCCGAGAGAGAAGCACTTCTCTCTAGAGGCCAAGAATGAATTCTTGTTTTTTTTTTTAACATTTGGACTTTTACCCAGATTTTAATGTAACAATTAGGGTTCACAAGCACCCGGGAATAATAAATGACTGATATCCAGGCAGGATTTTGCGTAGAAATGCATGTAATGCTCTATAAAGGTTTCTCAACTAGGGTTCCTCCAGAGGTTGCCAGGGGTTCCTTGAGCAATGAGCAATTTTTGCCTCTCAGGTAAGTTCTCACTGACACCATTAATCTTTTTAGCAATCTGTAATTCTTCCCGATGACCACAAGCGTGCGCAGCATTCGTACCTCTGACTATCACACTAATGTATCAGGAGTTGTAGATAAAGTCATTTATAGCCGGGTTCCCTGAGACTGAAAAGCTATGTCAGGGGTTCCTCTGCGTTGAAAAAGGTTGAGAAAGGCTGGTCTATAAGGTGCTTCTGTTTCTACACGTTTTGACATATAAAGAAAAGTAGTCACACTCCCCAGCGCTCAGAGGTCCTCCACAGTGAGGTAGGATAACAGAGTGGATCCATAATCACCCCGGCATCAGTCATCAGGCCATATGATGCCCATCCCGCATGGATTCAGCCTCCATGGCTGCTCTAAGGGTGATTGGCTCACAGTTACGATCTTCTACACGGAAGTTCGTGTTGTATTTCCAGTTTGCGGGCTCCAGAGACCGGACATTGTCACCGGTGGAGTATTCTTTCAGAAGGCCTCGAACAAAAACATTTTGGACCCACGGATGGCACCTTCTTGTGATATACACTCACCGGCCACTTTATTAGGTCAGCCTTACTAGTATCAGGTTGGATCCCCTTTTGCCTTCAGAACTGCCTTCATTCTTGGTGGCATAGATTCAACAAGGTGTTGGAAACATTCCTCAGAGATTTCGGTCCATATTGACATGATGGCATCACACAGTTGCTGCAGATTTGTTGGCTGCACATCCATGATGGGAATCTCCCGTTCCACCACATCCTAAAGGTGCTCTATTGGATGAAGGTCTAGTGATTGTGGAGGCCATTGGAGTACAGGGACCTCATTGTCATGTTCCAGAACCAGTTGGAGATGATCTGAGCTTTGTGACATGGATCATTATCCTGCTGGAAGGAGCCATCAGAAGATGGGGACACTGGAGGCATAAAGGTATGGACATGGTCAGCAACAATACTCAGGTAGGCCATGGCGTTAAACAATGCTCATTTGGTACTAAGGGGCCCAAAGTGTGCCAAGAAAATCTCCCCCACACCATGACACCACCACTACCAGCCTGAACCATTGATACAAGGCAGGATGGATCCACCACACCATGACACCCACCACCAGCCTGAACCATTGATACAAGGCAGGATGGATCCACCACACCATGACACCACCACCAGCCTGAACCATTGATACAAGGCAGGATGGATCCACCACACCAGGACACCACCACCACCAGCCTGAACCATGATACAGGGCAGGATGGATCCACCACACCATGACACCACCACCAGCCTGAACCATTGATACAAGGCAGGATGGATCCACCACACCATGACACCACCACCAGCCTGAACCATTGATACAAGGCAGGATGGATCCCCCACACCATGACACCACCACCACCAGCCTGAACCATTGATACAAGACAGGATGGATCCATGCTTTCATGTTGTTCACGCCAAATTCTGACCCTACCATCTGAATGTTGCAGCTGAAATCCAGACTCATCAGACCAGGCAACATTTCTCCAATCTTCTATTGTCCAGTTTTGGTGATCCTGTGTGAATTGTAGCTTCTGTTTCCTGTTCTTAGCTGACAGGAGCCAGTTGTGGTCTTTTGCTGCTGTAGCCCATCTGCTTCAAGGTTGGACGTGTTGTGTGTTCAGAGATGGTATTCTGCATACCTTGGGTGTAACGAGGGGTTATTAGAGTTACTGTTGCCTTTCTATTATCTGGAACCAGTCTGCCCATTTCCTCTGACCTCTGACCTCAACAAGGCATTTTCCTCCACACAACTGCCGCTCACTGGATATTTTCTCCTTTTCGGAACATTCTCTGTAAACCCTAGAGATGGTTGTGCGGGAAAATCCCAGGAGATCAGCAGTTTTTGAAACTCCTCAGACCAGCCCATCTGGCACCAACAGCCATGTCACGTTCAAAGTCACTTAAATCCTCTTTCCTCCCCATTCTGATGCTCAGTTTGAACTTCAGCCAGTCATCTTTACCACGTCTAGATGCCTAAATGCATTGAGTTGCTGCCGTGTGACATGTGATTGGATTATTAGTAATTTGTATTACCGAGCCATTGAACAGGTGGATCTAATAAAGAGGCCGGTGAGTGTAAAGGGCAATATTGAAAGTTCCTAGTGGGGTCCTATCACTTATCATTTGTCATCATTACTGTTGATTGTTTGTGCGCATGTACACTTGGATTTATTTATATTTACATAATCAATTTATTTATTTATTCATTGGTTTAAATGTTGGCTCCGCCCTTTGGGGAAGGGCTTTGCTCGCGTTTCTGTATTTATGCCCCTCTGCATGCAGTGGCTGGCCGGCTTTGCTCTGAGGGAGGGGGTGCACTACCGAAACGGGTCAGTAGGGGCCCCATGAGATGCCCCTGGTACCTTTCATAGGCTTTTTTGGGTGTGGTTTGAGTGTGGTCGAGGACACAGGGGCCCCATGATCCCCTATTGACTGGCGGCCCCATCAGTCCGCCCCTGGTCTGAGTACACGTATCCTGCACTGCAAAGCATCTTCTGGTTTACATGCTTTTATACGTTGCACTTTTGTGAGTATCCATTGTTATCTGTTTTACATTCTCCAATAAATTTTGGTAACGCACTAGGTACATGCGCCTTCCTGTCTGTTCTCTTTTAGTTACGTTTTGACACATAATTGCCCACAAAATGTTCACATCCGCAAAATTCTTCTTCCATTCCTCTTTACTCCCACCACTTACATAGATTCATACACTATATTGCCAAAAGTATTGGGCCCCCCGCCCTCCAAATCATGTAATTCAGGTGTTCCAATCCCCTCCCAATCATGTGATTCAGGTGTTCCAATCCCCTCCCAATCATGTGATTCAGGTGTTCCAATTCCCTCCAAATCATGTAATTCAGGTGTTCCAATCCCCTCCCAATCATGTGATTCAGGTGTTACAATCCCTCCATATCATGTGATTCAGGTGTTCCAATCCCCTCCCAATCATGTGATTCAGGTGTTCCAATCCCCTCCATATCATGTGATTCAGATGTTCCAATCCCCTCCATATCATGTGATTCAGGTGTTCCAATCCCCTCCATATCATGTGATTCAGGTGTTCCAGTCCCCTCCCAATCATGTGATTCAGGTGGTCCAATCTCCTCCATATCACGTGATTCAGGTGTTCCAATCCCCTCCATATTATGTGATTCAGGTGTTCCAATCCCCTCCCAATCATGTGATTCAGGTGGTCCAATCTCCTCCATATCACGTGATTCAGGTGTTCCAATCCCCTGCATATCATGTGATTCAGGTGTTCCAATCCCCTCCAAATCATGTGATTCAGGTGTTCCAATCCCCTCCATGGACACAGGTGGATACAATCAAGCCCCTAGGCATGCAGACTGCTTCTACAAACATTGGTGAAAGAATGGGTCGCTCTCAGGAGCTCAGTGACTCCAAGCGTGGTCCCGTGATAGGTGGCCACCTGGGCAATAAGTCCATCCGTGACATTTCCTGGCTACTAAATATTCCACGCTCAGCTGTTAGTGGGATTATAACAAAGTGGAAGCAACTGGGAACAACAGCCACTCAGCCACCAAGTGGTAGGCCACGTCACATGACAGGGCGGGGTCAGCGCATGCTGAAGCGCACAGTGCGCAGAAGTCACCAACTGTCTGCAGAGTCAATAGCTAAAGACCTCCAAACTTGGTGTGGCCTTCAGATGAGCCCAACAACAGTGTGTAGAGAGCTTCATGGAATGGGTTTCCATGGCCGAGCAGCTGCATCCAAGCCTTCCATCACCAAGTGCAATGCAAAGCGTCGGATGCCGTGGTGTAAAGCACGCCGCCACTGGACTCTAGAGCAGAGGAGACGTGTTCTCTGGAGTGACCAATCACGCTTCTCTGTCTGGCAATTCAATGGACATGTCTGGGTTTGGTGGTGGCCAGGAGAACGGTACTTACCTGACTGCATTGTGCCGAGTGTAAAGTTTGGTGGAGGGGGGATTATGGTGTGGGGTTGTTTTTTCAGGGGTTGGGCTTGGCCCCCTAGTTCCAGTGAAGGGAACTCTTAAGCTGACATTTTGAACAATTTTATGCTCCCAACTTTGTGGGAGGAGTTTGGGGATGGCCCCTTCCTGTTCCAACATGACTGCCCACCAGTGCACAAAGCAAGGTCCATAAAGACATGGAGGAGCCAGTTTGGGGTGGAGGAACTTGACTGTCCTGCACAGAGTCCTGACCTCAACCCCATAGAACACCTTTGGGATGAATTAGAGCGGAGACTGCGAGCCAGGCCTCCTCCCCCGACATCAGTGCCTGACCTGACAAATGTGCTTCTGGAAGAATGGTCCAACCTTCCCATAGACACCCTCCTAAACCTTGTGGACGGCCTTCCCAGAAGAGTTGAAGCTGTTATAGCTGCAAAGGGCGGGGCCAACTCAATATTGAACCCTACGGACTAAGACTGGGAGGCCATTAAAGGTCATGTGCGTGGAAAGGGCGGGGCCAACTCAATATTGAACCCTACGGACTAAGACTGGGAGGCCATTAAAGGTCATGTGTGTGGAAAGGGCGGGGCCAACTCAATATTGAACCCTACGGACTAAGAGTGGGGGGCCATTACAGGTCATGTGCGTGGAAAGGGCGGGCCAACTCAATATTGAACCCTACGGACTAAGAGTGGGGGGCCATTACAGGTCATGTGCGTGGAAAGGGCGGGGCCAACTCAATATTGAACCCTACAGACTAAGACTGGGAGGCCATTAAAGGTCATGTGTGTGGAAAGGCGGGGCCAACTCAATATTGAACCCTACGGACTAAGAGTGGGGGGCCATTACAGGTCATGTGCGTGGAAAGGCCAGCGGCCCAATACTTTTGGGAAATATAGTGTATGTCTGAACCCAGAGTGTCGGAGGTCAGGGGTGTATTTAGGTTTTGTGCTGACCTAGGCAACACAAAAATCATCTGCCCACTTGGACAGCGACCAACACAACCCCCCCATCCCCCTCCTGCGGAGACAGAAAATACATTGACCAACAACACCCCTGAACCCCACCTGGGAGAGCCTTCCACTACCCCCCCTCCCCCCGGGGATAGGGAGACACTCATCTTCACAGCTCTGGACATCCCTGGAAGTGAGAGCCAAGCTCTACATACACCATAAAACAGGCCGTAGCCTCTCTTGGATCCCACCTGGTTCCCATGGTGCACATGTCTCTTCTTTCATGCCTTCTTCTAGGGGGGAGGTGCTGCCCCCTGAAAAATGCCGCCCTAGGCAAGTGCCTTGTTTGCCTTACGGTAAATACATCCCTGTCGGAGGTGTCGGGAGACTTGTAAGGTCAGGGAAACCACTAAGGACAAGCATTATCAAGCGGCCCCTGTGAGGGTAGCGCTACATATGCTTTGACCATATAATGTGTATAACATGGGGGGGGGGGGGGGGGGGATTGAATATATTAGAAAACAAGCAGAAATCTGAATTGCATTTATCAGCACTAATGATGTAAATGTTTTATTCCTCTGAATCTACACTTTTCTTCTCCAGCTCCTTTCATGCCTTCTTTTAGGGGGAGGTGCTGCCCCCCTGAAAAATGCCGCCCTAGGCAAGTGCCTTGTTTGCCTTGTCCTAAATACACACCCCTGTCGGAGGTGTCGGGAGACTTGTAAGGTCAGGGAAACCATTGGGGACAAGCATTATCAAGCGGCCCCTGTGAGGGTAGCGCTACATATGCTTTGACCATATAATGTGTATAACATGGGGGGGGGGGGGGGGGGGGGGGATTGAATGTATTAGAAAACAAGCAGAAATCTGAATTGCATTTATCAGCACTAATGATGTAAATGTTTTATTCCTCTGAATCTACACTTTTCTTCTCCAGCTCTCCATCTAATGATCCGATGCCAGCAGATAAGAAAGGTGCTTGAAGATTTCCCGCACCGTCTATCCCGCCGCAGGAGCCGCAGTCTGGCGCTGTAATTACTGAACTTTGATTGGGAATTTCATCTGCGGATTGAACGCCTTCCCCTCCTCCGCTCCTCGTAATTTCATCAATAAACATTATTGTATGAGAACATAAATGCGAGCCATTCGAGCGCAGATGTCTCCGCTCTCCCCGCTCTCCCTCTCCCCGCTCTCCCCGCTCTCCCCACTCTCCCCGCTCTCCCCGCTCTCTCCTCCGCTCTCCCCGCTCTCCCCGCTCTCCCCCCGCTCTCCCCCGCTCTCTCCGCTCTCCCCGCTCTCCCCGCTCTCCCCGCTCTCCCCGCCTAATGACATTTAACTTATTAAGCAGTTTTTAAATTGTCCGGCTTCATTACGGAGATCTCTTCCCGCTGCAGCATTTATTTCCTTTAACTTGATTAAATTCGGTTCTTATGACATTCAGTAGATTTGTATCATTATTTCCCAGAGTCCTCGCTGCCTTTCTTAATGCGCTTTCCTCGCTTATTGAAAACTTCTCCCAATAAAAGGTTTCGGCGCGCTGTTAGCGACGTGGATAAAATATCGGGTTTCATGGATGAGAATTGAGGTGCAGCTCAGGGGTGGACTGACAGCTAATGGGGCCCCTGGGCAATAGGGGATTATGGGGCCCCTGTGTCCTCGCCCACACCCAAAAAAAGCCAATGAAAGGTACCAGGGGCAACTCATGGGGGCCCCCTACTGACCCTGGGCCCTCGAGCAGCGCCCGAGTTTCCAAATGGTCAGTCCGCCCCCGGGGTGCAGCACTCCGTGAGTCTAAATCACATTAACCCTTTCACTGCCTGTTTATTTCTTTTCTTTTTTTTACACAAGTTTTAGTAAACCATTTCTTTTTTATTCATTTATTCCAGGTAATTATATAGCGCCGTCAATTTACGCAGCGCTTAACATATAAATATTGTACATTCACATCAGTCCCCCCCCGCCCCCGAGGGGCATACAGTCTAAGGTCCCTAACTCACATTCATACATACACATCTATCTATCTATCCAGTCATATCTGACCCAGGGGCAGACTGACCATTTGGAAACTCAGACACTGCCTGAAGTCAGTAAGGGGCCCCATGAGCTGCCCCTGGTACCTTTTTCATAGGCTTTTTTGAGTTTGGGCAAGGACACAGGGGCCCCATGATCCCCTATTGCCTGAGGTCAGTAGGGGCCCCCATGAGATGCCCCTGGTACCTTTTTTATAGGCTTTTTTGAGTTTGGGCAAGGACACAGGGGCCCCATGATCCCCTATTGCCTGAGGTCAGTAGGGGGCCCCAAGAGATGCCCCTGGTACCTTTTTCATAGGCTTTTTGAGTTTGGGCAAGGACACAGGGGCCCCATTATCCTCTATTGCCTGGGGTCCCCATGAGTTGTCAGTCCACCCCTGATCTGACCCTTGGCAAGTGCATGGACCGTCACCCACAAGCATCTTTTTCCATGAATTCTCTTAGCAATTATTTTACAGGGTAGGTTGCCAGGTCTTTCCCCAACCCCCACCATGCAGGAGATCCCACATGGCCAGGGATGAAATTAGGACAATTTATACAGAAGCCAATTAACCTACCAGCATGTCTTTGGAGTGTGGGAGGAAACCAGAGCACCTGGAGGAAACCCATGCAAACACAGGGAGAACATGCAAACTCCATGCACGAGGCAACATGGTTGGGAATCAAACCCATGACCCAATTACTGCAAGACAGAAGTGCTAACCACTAAGCCACTGTGCCACCCATACTAGGGATAATTTAGACAGGAGCCAATTAACCTACCAGCATGTCTTTGGAGTGTGGTAGAAAACCTGAGCACCTGGAGGAAACCCATGCAAACTCCATGCAGGAGGCACCATGGTTGGGAATCAAACCCATGACCCAATTACTGCAAGGCAGAAGTGCTAACCACTAAGCCACTGTGCCAACCATACTAGGGACAATTTAGACAGGAGCCAATTCACTTTCCAGCATTTCTTTGGAGTGTGTGGGGAAACTGGTGTACCCAGAGGAAACCCACGCAGGCACAGGGAGAACATGCAAACTCCAAGCAGGTGGTGCCATGGTTGGGATTTGAACCAATCACTCACTCACGTACTTCCAAGCGGAAGTGTTAACCATTTAGCCACTGTGCTGCCCATTTTAGGCCAAAAGATTAGTTAGCACCCCCAAACTATACATTTTCTGGAAGCAGAGGTCCTGCACAATAAAATAGCGGTCGTTTTTTAAAATTTTATGTCACATGATACTGGCAAAACTGTTTACAAAGTGCAAATTTTTGGAAAAAAAAAAAGACAACCCTTTTGCTGCCAGGATCATTTTTTTTTACATTACAGTTTTGTTTTGGGTGAACAAGTAGAGGTACCACGTACCCCATACTCAGTCACACAGGAGAGGGGACAGGATCTGGGGGTCCCCCTTCCTGATTACGATAAGCCCCTCGCCTGCAGACCCCAACAACCAC